TAAGAAGGTTACTTACCTTTTTCCTATTTTGGAATTTTGTAAGTGATACCAATACTGTTGAGGTTGTTTAGTAACTTTTTTGTACATTTCTTGAAGAAAAACTGTAGCTTAAATATGGAACAATGGTGGTTCTACTCATGTGTCAACTTGTGTCTGAAGTAACATGAAATTTTCCCTAGAAGTGATGAACAGTCTTGTCCAGAGATTGAAAAGATGAAAAAAGTCAAGCTTGGTAAAGGTTAAGATGGATCACAATTATATCAAAGACTTTAGATAAATTAGGTTTTGCCACTTAGTAATAGAAATAGGCACTCCGGGTTTTCAATTCAAACCTAATGGTAAGAAGTTGTAAAATATTTATATATTGTATAATCTATGTGTAGAATTACATTGATCCTTTTGTTCTACTGTTACAATTTGAGCCGCGTCATGACAAAACCAACATAATGGGTTTGCGAACAGCATGGATCCTGACCAGCCTATGCATCCGTGCAGTCTGATCAGGATTCACGCTGTTCGCTATCAGTTTCTCTACTTGTTATAGCCTGTTTGTAAGCGAACAGCATGGATCCTGATCAGACTGCGCGGATGCCCAGGCTGGTCTGGATCCATGCTGGTCGCAAACCCATTATGTTGGTTTTGTCATGACGCGGCTCATTTATATTACCTATTTTTACTAATATTTTATTTGTCATATATTTTGTTTTGATTTAATTATTATTATTCTCCAAATGTGAAATTACAGAAATTGTAAAATATAAGTAATTTCATTGATAATTGAGAAAAAGAATTATTTAACTGTATTATTTTTACATTCGTTTTAAAATTAAATTACTCCTTACATTGTAAAATCCCCATTTTTGTAAAATATCTTGCTCTACCTTAATGATAGAGACTTACCATTTTAAATGTTGATAAAATAAAAAATAAAAACCTGATCTTAAATGGACTTTCAATCTGAACAAATTTAAACTATTATCATATTTAAGGAAAATTCTAGAATATGTACTGACTCAGAATAGTAGACAGTGCAAACATGTTCTGACTGCACTGATTTGCTGGAGAATCATGGTCCGCATGCGTTAGATTCAGTTGCTGCTCATTGCAGGCCAGGGGTTAAGATTTGTCCTAGAAACTTGAGATATCAATGCCATTGAATGTTTTACCAAAATCATGTGGATCAAACTTGTGCTGAAATGTCAGGAATGTATATTTGATTGATTCGTAATTCAGTTCCAATTGAATTATGTTTATTTTAGCCGTTTCTTCACCTTAGAACAGCCTGATAATGGCAAAGTTAAGGATATAAAAGAACAAAAATCAAATTACGAAATGTTTGTTCTAACATTTAGTAGTCCATGATTACTGAGAGGTGAAGTACGTCTGTGTGAGACATTTAACAGAAAAGTTTGAGAAATATTGTTACTTTATTTTTGGTAGACATTTAGTTACACTTCCCTGTTTCACTTAATTGTTTAAAAGAACCCAATAAAAGAAATTAGATAGAGCTACACCAATTTCCTCCGAGTAATTGTGATATTTAAGAAGAGGAAATATTTAGAAAATGCAACATGACTGTGCTGAAATTGAAAAGTAGGCAGTAGTTAGTGGGTCTAATTAAAGAAACTGAAAAGACCATTATGAAAACAGTAACAACTTTGCATTGGATGCTTGGCTTCCTGTCAAATGATGCAATTAGGTAATAAGAATTTTATTTAAGTAGTTATTCAGTTAGCCAGACCACAATTCAGTCCAATGCAGGTGTCTAGCATGGTCACCAGGAATATATTGTTTATCCAAGGAGCAATAATCTACATGCTGGGGAAGTTTTTCATGGAATTAATTGAATTGAGGACTGTTAATATGTGAAAATATTTGAGCCGCGTCATGACAAAACCAACATAGTGCGTTTGCGACCAGCATGGATCCAGACCAGCCTGCACATCAGCGCAGTCTGATCAGGATCCATGCTGTTCGCTTTTAGTTTGTAGGCGAACAGCATGGATCCTGATCAGACTGCGCGAATGTGCAGGAATATCTGGTCCATACTGGTCGCAAACGCACTATGTTGGTTTTGTCATGACACAGCTCATATATAATATGCTCCAAAAACATCAAGTCAGCTAGCTGTGTGCCCCAGTGTAACTATGGCACAAAGTAATCATGATCTTTTAATGAACTATAGTTTCTTGTAAGTAAACATTGTGCTGCTTATAAACAAGCTTATATGTTACAGGTTTAAATAAAATAGCAATCCAAATTATCATCCTTATACAAATGCTTAAAACCAGGTAAAATGACATAAAACTTTGTTTGAAAATTTAGCAATGATGCACAATCATAATGTAAAATTAAAAAGGAAAATCAGAATGTTCTTAAAGAAAGTAAAATGAAATTATGGAAAAAAAGAAGAAGAAAAAATAATAATTTCAAATAGAAAAGAATCAACAAAATAGCATGGAGTAGAATATGATAAATAATAATTAGAAATGTAAAAAAATAACAAGTGTGAAACAATTAAAAAAATGAAGTTTCATAATTATTATTTGGTCATAGCTTACTTATATCAATGGATGTAACTTTCATTTATATTTGGATAATAACATTATTTAGGACAACACCAACATCTGGAAAATTCATGTTTGACCATGACCTATAAATGACATCAACATGCAGTTAAGGTCAAGTTTGAAAGTTGCCATATGACCTATACTGTGTTTGTGTAACAAAGGATAAAAAATAGCAAACTTAGTTGAGCAATTTAAGAACCCTGAGATGGCACTCCTGATTTTGTTAGGAGCATGATTGTAAAACTACGAGGGGTTATCCAAAAATTCATGGACTTTTTAAATATCTCTTGAGCGTCAACATGTATTGTAATGAAATTTTATCAGCATACATTGTAGAATATTATCAACACATTTTGAAAAGAACTGTTAATAGTGTCCATAAATAATGATTTCATATTGCTTTTAAATAAGCACATACACGGCACCCGGTAAAAAAACGCAGCAAGTCATCGTATATTTCTTGCTAAAAAACTAAAAAATTAACGTAGAAAACCCGCTGAACATCGCATGTTTTTTCTATGATGTCATTTAAGTAATTCTTTAAAATAATGGACGTCATTTCCGTTTTTTGTTGATATCGCTAGAAACGCCAGACGCCTTTATTGTTTACAACGGGAAAATGACGGACACGCGGTAATTAGAAAATCTCGCTATCATATAACGATCATAAATTTTTGTTGTAATTTGGGGATGACACCTACAAAAACATTTGATAAAAATCAGCAGACGAACAGAGAAAAGAAAATTTAATGATCATTAGTGTTAAAATGGCATAAGAAATTTAGTGATGGACATTACTTTGAGAAGCAGTAACCCTCATTGACTGTGTAACGTTGAAGTACAAGTTGTACATTAATATTATGACGTTGACGTCAATAACTTTTGGAGTGCGCCGCTGTCGCCGACATGTATTTATGTAAAATTAAATATTGTTGTAATGTAAAAAGCTACTTACATGTATTTTTCTGTGTATATTTGTTATTAATTTTTCTAAGCAGTGTATGAATTTCAAATTAATATTTCGTATAAATTTTACGCAACAAAGAAAGTCCATGAATTTTTGGATAACCTCTCGTACTTAAGAGATTAAAAATTTGAAACAGATTTATCATTAAACCAAATGCAGTACTTAAAAATCATTATTATCTATCCTGCACAATTTGAAGTCTCTCGGATTTATATGGTTGCATAGAGGTGACAGTCACAGTATTTTTTAACTCATGGCCATGACTTACAAGCACAACTTATTACCTTGAGACTTCATGATATTATCTTGTGGCCACAACTTATTACCATGAGGCCTCAAGATACTGTCTTGTGGCAACAACTTATTATTTTGAGACTTCATGATATTATCTTGTGACCACAACTTATTACCATGAGGCCTCAAGATACTGTCTTGTGGCAACAACTTATTATCTTGTGGTCACAACTTATTATGAACAATGAAAATAGTTGATTCATCTTGAACAAAAGTTAAAATTACACTAGCCATAGCTTTTGCAGAAACAGTGGGTCAAATAATGCAGTTTTCCTTTGGTCAAGTTCAAGGACACCTTTATAAAACAGAAAAAAATGATTTCCAGACAACAACTTGAGTTAGGAATGAGACATTAAAGTTAAATTTGGTATATATATAGCAGGCTTATTTGAAGGCCTGCATTGGGATTGCTTTTGGAACCCCTGGGATCAACGTCAAGGTCACCATTACTAAAAATAGACAGATGGTTTCTGGACAATAACTAGAGATAAGAATGGGGTATTGTAATCAAAGTTGGTATACAGCTTATATGAAGACCCCAGTTGGGATTGCTTTTGGACCTCCTTGGGTCAAGGTCAAGGTCACTGTTACTTTAAATAAAAAAAAATGGTTTTGGGAAGACAGGCTTTTAATTGTAATAATTATTGGTATACAGATGAAATATCATAAATTACAGGTATAGTTCAAAATTTTGCTTTAGACCACTTGTTATTTGTTTGGGTCATCAGACCAAACAAATAATGATAGCGAAATTTCAGAGCCTAATGCTGTTAATTGCAAATGCCTAAAGTAGTCCACTTTTTTGAAGCGTTTACTTCCCTTTATATGTACACTAACGCCGAAAAATTCAGGGGAGATCAATGCATAAAGATTGTCAAATGACAGGCGCATTAATTTTCAAGCGAAGTAGTTCCCGAATGGTCGAAGATTTCTAATATTGTTTCATTCTTTATAGATAAACATGCTTACAGTAAGCTCCATGATTATTTACATCTGTGTTTAGCGTCGAAATAATAAGAGTTACAAACCCTAATTTAGAATAATATGGTTTTCTTCAGGCCGTTAACATATAACTTCACCGTGGCCGAGGGGTTTGCACGCTCGCTTATGAATCGAGAGGTCTCGAGTTCAAATCCCAGTTGAGGCAACTCATTTTTTTTAAAAAAAAATTTTAAGTCAAATAAACATTGAATTGACTATCAGTGTTGCAATTAGTCTTATAGCCAATTTACTACAGTTAAAACACTGGAAAGCATTGGTGGCACTATACAAAAACAAATTGGTTTATAATCTCACAACCTTCACCTTTCTGACATTCTGAGACCCAAACAAATTCAGCGCCTTCTGTGCTTTGATTTTTCAAAAAGTTAAGGTAGCTGGCTCTAGTTCAAATGATTCTAATTATATTTTCATTGCTTCGTAAACTAACATTGATCATATTAGGCTAAAATGGTTCATCAACCAAATTTAAAAAAAAAACAAAAAAACAACAACAACAAAAATCATCACAGTTTTACTGTGAAGGGCAGATAATTTTGCTAATTAGTTTTACAGAACTATGCTTATTGTCTCCTTTGCTTTTTAATATGAAAGTAGAGTGCACTGCTCCTTTGAGAGATCTTAGGAGCATTTTCATTATTGTTTTTCTTTGTACGAGGGTTGTCCCAAAATAATCAATTATAATACAATAGAGTCCTCCTGCTAGGGAAAAGTCAGTACACCTTTTATGTGTGTCTATGCAAAATAAAATCAAAATACCTCCAAAATTGACCAAGTTATCAAAATTTAAAGAATGCTACCTATACATACCCGGCGCACGCCCTCATAAACGTCATGAAGTTATAAGATTTTTTAAAATGCTTTTCAAAGTATTCACCGTGTTTCACAATGCACTGTCAGTGTGGGGCAACCCATTTATCATAAACGTTTTCAAAACAGTCCTGCTTCAATGTACTCAACACTCGCAGAGTTGAGTTTCCTGGCGGAGTTCGCTAAAGTTTTCAAACCTGTGACCTCGTTATTGTGATTTCAAATAAGGAAACACTGCAAAGTCTCTGAAAACCTATCACATCAAGTTCAATCTGTGTCTCCTGAGATCTATGGCAAGGTGCATTATCTTGATAAAATATAATGTTCTCCTAGTTGTCAATTAACGCTGGACGCTTCTTCAGCTTAACACAGTATTCAATGACATTGCGTTGCGCCACATTTTCATCTGACGTCGTCGCCATTTTGGGCATTTTCAAAATAGCACTGCTGTTACGTATTATGCTACAGACTTTTTCAAATTAATGTTACATAAACGTCTGGTGGTGATATGTCGTAAAAATGAATGACGTAATTCCACATGAATGTATTTCCCATAATTATTATTATGCTAGAAGTTAATGGCATTATTTTAAGAAGCATGCTCTCAACACTGACTAATATTTTATCGTGCTCTGGGTATGTTGTACTGTTAAATATAAAACCCTGATAAAAAGCTTTACCTAATATAGTGGCTATTGACTTTAAGTAGGTAAATTAACAAAAATTAATGACCAAGGAAGATATCAGTAAATTTTATTAAAATATGACGTCAGGTTGAAGAGAAAATAATGTAGTCTACGACATTTTGGGACAACCCTCGTATGTACCTAGATTACTATCATTTATGCTGTAGGGCATCTTGTTTGGGATTGTGAAAATGTCAAACTGGGAGAATTTTGGCAATTTGTTCTCCATTGCTTTACTTGCGAATGACTTTCTTAGCGATGGTCCAAGTTTTTCAAAGATTTCCTGCATGATTTTTCTGTCATGGTTTTTAAAGTCAACAGTACAGCCAACTCGTAGAAAGGCTTTTATCTGTGGATTGTCGACATTGAATGCTGACAAATGGTCAAAGTTAACGAGTACTATGTTTTTAGATCTGTCTGTTTTGAAATTGTTCCAACCATATTTCCACTCGTTTTCAGTCCATGATCTCATTCCCTCTTCACTCTCTTGGAGATAACTTTCAGACATTATTGTGAGGAAGTTGCGTGTTTTAGACAGAATTTTGATTATTTCAGAGTCACGTTCAGCCCCAAATGTCACATCTCGGTTTGGTTGGAAAACATTGTAACCTGCTTTTGTAAGTTCCGGCTCAAGTAAATCATTTACCCATTTGTCAACATAGTCGTCTGCATCATTAAAGGAAAGGAAAACATCATATTCATAGAGAGGAACAACAATGTTTCTACTTTTCTGTCTCATTCTAAGGCAAAGAATAAGTAATTCATAGCGGAAGGTATACACAACAATTCCTATTAAGACAAGGGTCAGAATAACCATGGCAATTATTGTCCCAAGAAATAACAGGAAACCTTCAGGCGAACATTCTAAATCTTCAGGACTGAAGTCAAGAGCTCTCCTAATACCTATTTTAGGAATTTCACATTTGAACAAATTATCTTGGGATTCATGGCATGGCCGCGATTGAACCCATTTTTCAATCCATTTTGACTGGCAGTCACAGTTTACATGAAGGTTTTTCATGTGGCGAGAGCACACATTATGGTACTGGAACATTTGTGGAAGTTGCGTTAATCTTGGATTATTTGATATGTCAATATATGTGGCGTTTTCAAGATTATTTGCTATAGTGTTGTCTATTTCTCTAAGGTTGTTCCCAGAAATGTCCAGCATAGATATTTTGTGAAGGTATGACACATTTTCTATTATTGAGATATCATTGTTAGACACATTTAATGAGAGGAAGTATGAAAATCTAGACGGGGGTATATCTGGCAGTCTTTTTAGTCCAGCATTTGAACAGTCGATAAAAGTCCTGTTTTTGAAAGGTTGATCTATGCAAGTACAACGTGGATCACAGCCAATATCTGTATCACAGATAAGTTTTTCAGGTGGTATAGTAACAACAGGCTGGCCTGCTAAATTCTTGGGTTCTTTGCAAGTTATATTCATATAGTCCCTCCATACTGTATTGACGATCTCATATGCACGTTCCATGAATTCTTCAATGTAGCAGTCACATTTTAAAGGAATATCCGTGAAATCAAAGCCAAAACCGATCAAGTGTCCAAGTTGTGTGATGTCATCAAGTTTTAAAAGTTGAACAAAATCTGGGAATTTTGAAATTTTGTTTCCTGTTAAAGACACAAAACCTGGTCCATAATTATGTAAATGATAAATTCATCGAAAAATTTGCTGTATTCACTAATTCGGTGATTTGGTTTTTAGAAAAGTCTATGTGGCAAAATGGGTACAAGCTGATCATGTTTGATATATCCAAGTTACTAAGCTGATTATTACGCAGGTCCACACGGAATAAACTTATCAAATTCTTTGATGTGAAAATATTTGGATCCATATTTTGTATTAAGTTTCCTGATAAATCAACAATCCTTAGGTGGTCCATATCTGTAAAAGATGAATTTGAAATGAATGTCAATTTGTTGTTTTTAAGATTGAGGTGGTCAAGTTTAACTAAACATCGTATGTCAGGAAGTGTGGAAATTTGATTATCTTTAAAATTCATCTTCACAATTCTACCCATATAAGCTTGCATGATACTAAAGTCATCAGGGTATCTTGCTTTTAAACCTGATTCTTTGTCCCAGTTGCAAAGATTACTTGGAATTTCTGTCATTATAGAATTCAAGTGCTCAATTTTATAAACAACATCTGTTTCATTAGAAGCTTGATTTGCAACAACTAAGCTTCTGCCAAACACTGACACAAATTCTATAAATAGCTCGATTTCATTTCCTTCCCATACTGCACATGATTGGCAAGTGCAGCATTTGTCATATTTTGTCTGTCTTTCCTCATCAGGCAGTGATTGAAGGTCTTGGCTGTTACAGGATGAATGACATCGCATATCTTGTCTTGGTTCAGGCAACCATGATGCTTTCCATTATAAGTTTACCATATTTTTCGTTACAGTCAGCAAAAGCATTCCTAGGTTTCTGTATAAACATCAGCAGAAAAAATACTACCCTGGAAAAGAGCACAATATGTTATAATATTATCATTGGAGGTGGGGTGGGGGGGGACATAACAAAAACAAAAAATGAAAAGAAAATCACACAAATAATTTTAGTTCATCTATTTCGTAACTAAGAATGATCATCATACGTATTATGAACATCATGTAGATAGAAAAAATGGAATATTTTGTTATAAAAACAATTTTGTTACTTACCTAAAACTTGTCATTGCTCCTAATTTTATTCCTGATGATATTTGTGCCAATTGATTTATAAATGTGCCGATAATAACATATCATATGTTCTTGACTGCTTGAAAACACTTTTCTTGACCGCTTGAAAATGCAAAAATATATTTAATTGCAGCTATATCTCTAAAGGTAAGGTCCTTGGTGAACGTTTTTCAGATTGTAAATTTAATATTTTCTGTAGCTCACTTGAAAGGTTGAAAGGTTATCTTGAAATAGGAAGTGATAAAAACTGTTATAAATTAAAATTACAAAAAATGCGTGTGCAGTCTTAAGATAAAGTTCTTCTTTTATCATGTCTGAATAATTATGAGCTTCAATGATCCCATATATCAATGACATGATGTACAATTCAAGCTTTGATAAGGAAGACTAGTTATAATTGTGTGTGATGTACAAAACTTTTGGGATACATATTACTTTTGTTTTCCCGGTCTGCCCATCCGTCTGCCTTCCTGTCTGTCCCCATTTAGGTTGTCCGGCTTTCACAGGTCAAACTCGTAGGGAGATTTCAACCAGACTTCACAGGATTGTGATTGTGCATATCACCGGCAGATTCTGTTTTGCTGCACAAAAATAGAAAAATCTTGTCCAGCTTTAAAAAAAGTGGAATTTCAATGATTACTTCACAGGAGGGATCAGTACCATCATTAGCTGTGCACCAATAACACACTGATTCTGCTTTGCTGCACAAAAAAGCCGCCATATGCCAATCATTGCAAATTTTCTGTGTACAACACATTTGTTTCTATAAATCAATCAAGAAAAATAAATGACTAACAAAAGGTATGCTGAGGTTTTTTGACATTATGGGACTCAAAATATTTTTTCCAGGTAAATGTACCATTTGATGTAGGTTTAGACCCGACTAATCTTTGTGCAAAATTTCAGAGCATTCGCGTATTTCGTTTTTCCAGAATAATTATTCAAATTGTAAAAAATGACCAAAATTGAAAAGCGTTTAAACGCTTTTCACTCAAATCGGGCTTAGAAAAGCATAAAAATACAATTTTCAATTAATTTCAAAGTATATTTCTTAACTATCCTTGCATATATTTCTGTTTAAAGTGCCCAAGCTCATTTATGTGAGAAATTCAAATGTTATGTTTTTAGGCTTTTAAACCTCAGTGGAGTCCCTTTAAAACATATTTTTTATTGGTACCAAAGACATAAATACTTGCATTTAATTCCACATTATGTAACACATTTTTACATGAAAATTATGGCTGTCATCTTCAATCATCAACAGTAACAACATTGGACACGGTGCAGAATTTAAATCATAGACAAGATACATATTTACAATAAGGATATCTTGTGCTAATGGACATAATGCAATGATTTGAAATAGAAAATGAATTTTTTCAGTATTTAAATTGTTTACTTTCATCTTTTGTTTAAAATTGGCATTGGTTATTGGCATAATACAGTACTGTTCTTGTGAAGGATATGTTTTAAAAGATGCTGTGTTCATGATTTATGTTTTTGATAAGTATAAAAAAGAACTTAGTATAAAATAGCATGAAACAAGTAGATGATTTATGATTGATGTTTTTAGGTCTCAAATCTGGTTCTGATCCAGTTTATTTCCTTTTTGGCACTGATAGAATTGCCACAACATTTCAGTCATAAAATTGTATTTTTGCCCAGTTTTGCTTTCTTGTAAATGTAATGAAAAGTATGAATGGAACTGTTAGGTCAATTCACCCCATTTTTGTGTCCTTCTAGTCTGATGTAATGAACATACATTATCACACAGTTACTACTGCGGTACATGGTGTTCAATTCATGCTGGCATATCCTGATAGGCTGCCAACTTTTCACTTAAGATGTTTTTAATCTCGAAAACCTATGGAATTGATAGTGTTGTCTGTTTATTGTAAAGAATGGCCCCTACTAAGCAAGTTGAATAACTTCTTAATTATTTTCAATCTGACTAATATCAGATGTACTTATTTCTTTTATGTAGATCTGATGTTTTGCCTTCTTTATAATTCGGATTTCCCGAGAAAGCTATTTTTAGCCATGCAATCAAACCGGTTTTTACATAGGCATTAGAAGAAGTATCAAAATACCGTTATCCGTGGAAGTTAAGCAAATTGTTGATTTTTGTTAGAAAAAATGTTTGAAATAATTTTTAACAAGAACAAAAAATGTTTGAAGTAATTTTTACAAATTATCTTGACAAAAATAGAGTCAATTTTCAATGGGCAAGATTGTTTTGCCAGTTTACCTGTCAGCTATATGGACAACGCCATGTTTGTTTTCGAAATCGTGAAAATTACCTACTCAAGATTGGTTTTCCCAGGATTAAAATTAGAAACCTGTGACATCGCTTTCAAAATAATGAAAGCTTGCCAATGGTTGGCTGTGTGAAACGTCACTAGAAATGATTTCATTTTGGGTCACGGTCAGATCTAAAAGGGGAGTGTTATAATTTAGAGCTGATTTTAATCAGATTGAAATTATTTTTATTTTGACACAGGTTGTACTGATATATTGATATTCTCATATTTTGAAACATCATTTTGTAATGATGTTAGTTAACCTTACCTGAGTACAAAGTGATGATGACAGGGATGAGCTTTTATGAATGCATAATGTCCTTGTTCTGTGGTGTCTTATATGACCAAATTTTCACAGATAATCATAAGAAGGTCCTTTACAAAAGCCATTTAATATGGTTTCTCATTGATGTGCAAGTGGGTCATAGGAGCAGAAAAAAACTTCAATCTAAATAATGCAATATCTGATGTCATATAGAGGCAGAAATAAAATTAACCAACAGTCTGACAATCGAGTATAATTTAATTTGCTGATATTTTAACTAAAAAAAAAGTGTATTATTTAATACAGAGCTGAATGTGCATGAAAGTTGAATAGGATATATATTTTTTGCGTACAATGTATTTATCATTTGTTTGTACTAAATGCTTGAACAACATACATAATTTACAATTGGAGCAGAAATATTTAACTGATATGCCATGTCAGATAGCAGGTCTTTAGAAGTAGAATTTATACACTTTAAAGTATCATAAAAAAACAGTTGCCTTCAAGTACAAAATTTATTACATGTTAAAATTGTGGTGTTTTTTTGGGTTTTTTTTTGTTTTTGTTTTTTTGTTTTTGTTTTTTTCCAGTACCAAGATAATTATTGGACTTGCTAGGAGATCATTAAAACAACCTGTAAATTCATGCCAATTTTTAAGAAATTTCAAAACAAAATTTTTTTTTTGTTTTAATGAAAAGCATATTTTCAAGGTTTATGTATCTACTGGTTGGAATTCAAAACAAGTTTGTACAATGGTCAAGTATATTGAGAGGAAGGACAGTGCACAGGAACCATACCTGTTTCTTAACTCTTTTTAGAGTTTAATAATTGCCCAAAGTTACGTTTTATTGTCCAGTGCATATAAACTTGATAAATGGTTGGAATTCAATGCAACTACATACAATGGTCCAGCACAGTGACATTAAGTGCAGTGCTCAAGAACCATTACTCTATTTGGACAAATTGCATAGTTATTTGCCCTTGTTACTTTTCCTTGTCCTGTGCATAACTTGAAAACTAGAAGTTGAAATTCCATACAACTTCATACAATGGTCAAGTGCAATGAGAGAAAGTGCAGTTTACAATAACCATAACTCCATCTTCAGTATTTGCAGAGTTATTGCCCTTTGTTCCTTTTCCTTAGAAACTAATGTTAGGAATTCAATGCAACTCCATATAATGGTCAAGCGCAATGAGAGGAAGTGCAGTGCTCAAGAACCATAACTCTATCTGGACTTATTACAGTGTAATTCAATTAAACTTCATCAATGGTCAATCACAGTGAAAGAAAATGCAACAAGAACCACAACTGTCTTTAATTGCCCACAACCATAACACTATTTCAATTCTTTTACAAGGTATTCTGTTACTAGTAACTTCCTATTTCCGACGCAGTCTTGCGGGGTTTGCTTTTATTTGTCATTCTATCCAGAATTGAGGAAAGTCTGAGATAATGCTGCTCCTTGGACACTGCTGTTGTTTATATAGGCATGCTATATTTTAAGAAAATCACTCAGTATTTAAAATGATTTTTACTTAAAAGACTAGTTACCTTCTGAAATTTTTGCTGTGTACTTTTTAAATGCAAAAACTGTGTATGGAGTAATGATATATAAAAGAAATACAGAAAAAAATGGATAGCAACTATAATTTGTTTCAATGATCAAAATTTAATGTATGTGAATTTTGTATGATTTTTATCCCTATTTATCCAGTTTTACTTATTGTAGTATAGAATCAGTGTTGCATCTAGGCCGCGTGATTGCGCGATTTGCGCATTTTTTATGCAGATCGCGCATTTAAATGAAGTCAATTTGTGCCAAGTCGAGCATTTGACGATCTTTTCAACTTAATTCAGTTTATCTTCATCGTATCTTGAACGCTTCATCACTTGTGGTTATGACTAAAATACGTACTAAATCGCGTGTAGCAGCCGACTGGGTCATCTCGTGTGTGTTTTGTCGTATTCGTCAATATTTTATTTTTTCTACTTCCGTTTTTGAGTGGATGATAGCTGTCAAAAATGCCTGAACATAAAATAAATGAATTCTTTTCGGTACGTCATATTGTAAGGTAATTGTATGTCCCAACATTTTTTCAAATCCCCCACATTTTTTAGTTGAGTGGGGGACAATCCCCCATAATTTAAAAATTCTAGATGCAACACTGATAGAATTATATTTTATCACAATGTTCATTTACTAAAATGTGGTCTTATAATATAAGTTTGACTGTACATTATGTACATATTATACAATAATTTATGTTCAAAGTTGAATATCTCAGAAATTCAAATACCATTTATACACGCTGAGTCATATGGGATTATATTATGTCTAAATTACTTAATTTATTAGTCAATTTCGTATTCTAATATGATAAGACAAGATTCAAAAGATTTAATTCGTGGAAAAGTCTTTGAGAAAATATCAGGGTTTATAAATCAAAATTTGCCTCTGTGAAAATTGAAAATCGGAGTTATAAATTAAAGTTTGTGTGTTAATGTATGTTTAGTTGAATTATTTTGTGATTTATATAATAATATAAAGATACTTTGTGATACTTAATGTCCCCAAATCCAAAAAAAAATTCAAATTCACAGATAATATATTAGATAGCACGGAAATTGTGAGT